TATATATACATCAATTTTTTCTTGGAATTAAACACATTAAAGTAGCAGTGTTAACGAATATTATCGGGCATAAACGAAGGCTCGGCGTTCACGTTTACACAAGGCTAAAGAATGACATGAGTTCAGGATGTTTACGTTTACAGCAACCGTAAAAAGATAAAGTTGAACTCATCTACATAAATGTGACGTGGACACACGCGGCTGCCACTTATTTTGTAACTTTTAAAATTGATTTTATTATTGTAATTTTTATATAATTTCCATGTGCCTTTTTTTGCAAATTTCCAATGGACTTTCTTCCCAAATTTGCACAAAGAATAACAACGTTATACCATGGAGGGGAAAAAAATTCTTCCATCTATAGTTAGAACGTGTTAAAATTTGAATACGTGGACTGATAAAACTTAACTTTTCTTCATGAGGGTTTCGTATCTTTTGTATTTTTTTTTTTTTTTTTTTAAGGAGCTATCTACGACAGTGCTGGGAACTATAGAATATCGTTCTTCTTCGCTGCTGCCAACTACCTCCTCGTTGGTGTTATGTTGACAGTTACGGAGATTGTTACAAAAGTTTATGGAAAACCTAAGAACGAAGACGAAGGAGAACCAGAAACATTTGTATGAGACTTACAATTCAATATCAGCGCCTTTAGAAAAAGAGAGGCTGTCTTTTACATAATAATTACAGTACTTATTAGGAACATAGACAATTTGTATTTTTTTAAAGATATTGGCTCTTAAAACTGTATATTACTTGATTGTGTCATGATGTCGAATGTTAGTATACGTTCTTGACAATCAGTATGTATTAACATCAATGTTATACCGATTGTTTTCATAATGCCAAATATCGACTCTAACGAAAAAGAACTGGAAACATTTGTATGGGATTGTCTTAAGACTACAATTCTATATCAAGATTTTTTAGAAAAAAAACAAAACATTTTTATTTGCTGTCGACTAAGTTTTTAAGATGTTGACTTTTAAATTGTATTACTTGATTGCTTTTCCCTATGTCAGTATAATATGCTCAAAACAATGCAATATTTATCAAGATCAATGTTATACCGATTTTCATAATGCCAAATATCGACTCAAACGAAAAAGAACCAGAAACATTTGTATGAGTTTGTCTTAAGACTACAACTATATCAAGATTTTTTAGAAAAAACAAAACATTTTTATTTGCTGTCAACTAAGTTTTTAAGATGTTGACTTTTAAATTGTATTACTTGATTGCTTTTCCATATAATGTCAGTATAATATGCTCAAAACAATGCAATATTTATCAAGTTCAATGTTATACCGATTTTCATAATGCCAAATATCGACTCAAACGAAAAAGAACCGGAAACATTTGTATGGGTTTGTCTTAAGACTTACAATTCCATACCAAGAATTTTTAGAAAAAAAAAAAAAAAATATGGAGAGGCTGTCTGTTAAATACTTACATTACTTAGAACATTTTCATTTGCTATCGACTAACTTTTTAAGATGTTGGCTCCTAAATTGTATATTACTTGATTGCTTTTAATATAATGTCAGTATATGCTAAAAAAAAATGAATATCTATCAACATTAATGTTCTACCAATTTTCATAATGCCAAATATCAACCTAAAATGTTAATTGGCATTGATTCCCTTGGTGTCCACATGTTTCTGCAAATGGAAATGACATTAATATAATTCTTGAGAGGATGTAGAGCAGGTATTCTCTTTATAATAATGGTAATGTACCATATTTCTGAACAGAACACGGCTGAAAACCACCTGGCTGCAAAATGCACATAAAATAGACTAAAAAGCCAATAGGAACATTGGGGATAGGGCTAATAATAGTCCATGGCTCAGAATGTATTCTAATGTCACAAATATAAATAATTATTGTACAAACATATTTTCAATGCAATCAACTAGTATAGTGGATAATAAAAAAAATATCAAAACTCATGAAAAGATGACAAAGTATAATCATTAAAGCGCGGTACCACAGGATGTTGATGTCACAGTAGCGCATTTAAACTTGTTGGTAAATTGCCAAAATAAGAGAGAACTCAAACAAAAACTTTGGCTTATTTGGGCAACTCGGAGAGAACTTGTAGCAGCTCTGAACATGCGGCGGTATTTTGAACATCTTCAAAAATTAAGTCAAAGGTTGACATCTCGTAGTACTTGTAGAGTACTCTAGGTATCGGACCCACAGCTAACTCGTAGACAACTCGGGAAACTTGCCGGCAGTTTTCCATGCACAAGCGTGCCGCGAACTTGCAACGAATTACCTCGAGTATGTGATGCGGTTTGGACGATTTACCTTCAAGTTTACTGCAAATTTTTTATTTATTGTATGTCCATATATGATGTGCCTATAATGGTCATGATGTTATCATGACCATATTTAGGCATGTCACATGTTTTTGACACATAAAATATGAGTCTGGACAGCACTTAACACGTTTGAAGCTCGTAATGATCTCAAAATGCTCGTAGTAGGCCTAAACTTGACTTGACAATTCTTACTTTGTTCGGCACAATTCGAATTGTGTTGATTCGTATCTATTTCGCAGTAAAGCTAGTCGTGAATAACTCAGGGAACTCATAGTAAACCACTGAAGTAAAAGACTTTTGCTGATTTAAACCATAAGTTTCGAGAGTTGGTTAGCCCGTAGAAAACCTACAGTACACAGGTTGTGAGAACTGCTAAAGTGTCATTAGGACGCAAGAAAAAAATCCAGTCACTTGACAGGAAAAAACCCAGGACCCTAGAATATGAAGGCAAGCATCTTCCTCACCAAGCTAAGGTCCCATTCTGTCTATAAATAAATTACTCCATCCATGCACACCATCACAGCCATTCAAATGATGCGAGAGAGATCGCATGTTTATACTTTAACATACATAGCTAGCACTTGGCTACCACTTGCTTTTATAAACTTTCCAGTTGTAGATATACAGTACACTATAAAGATCAACTCCAGAACCAACATTTGAAATATGGAATGTATTATGTTTTTAAACACTCTTCTATAATGCTTCAAGGTTGCTCTTACAGCAAGACTCAAAGAGTCGGTCATATAGGTACAACTAAACTATACACAGAAATAAAACATTATTAAATATAAGTTATTGCATTAACAGTTAAAACAGTCAATTTTATAATACGTCCTACTCAGTCGAAATTTAACCTTTACCGTTTCTGTGCACGTTGAAATGTGACTGAATCAATTCTTAAACTTTATTAAACTAGAGCATTAAAGTAAATTATAAAAAGTAGAGAATTTAATTGGTCCTAAGAAAGTATAATACATACTCCAAGTATTGAAATACACGCCATCGTGTTGGGATTCAATATTTCGACATTAATTATGTCATCATCAGGAATTGGTCCTAGTTAACAACCAGAAAACCAGGCTGGCCCAGGGGATGCACTAGAGTGGCACAATACAGTGACATCCTGGTAGTGAACTAGAGAGCACATGGAAAGTCACTGACTTGCTCTTTGTGAAGAATGTAGAAGATTAACATACATATAGACAATGTTGTACAGCGTATGCAAAACGACTTAAATATATCTTCAGGAAAATGATGCATTTATAACACTTCACTCGCAGGGAAGCTTAAAAAAACTTGGACAAGCCCCCCCCCCCCACCTCAAAATCACCTTATTTCTATAGCTAGCGCCCACTCACTTAAGAGTCGAGCCCCAACCTCACCTTTGCACCTCCATCAGCCCCCATGCCCATTTCAAGACTCCTACTTCTTTCTACAACCAAGAATAAATCCCCAAGCCTAATACAGAAACTAGGTCATCAAGGATCCACTTCCTGGACTGATCATCTTTGTTCAAATATGGTGAAAATGGTTTACGATTTATTTCATATGATTCCACCATTCACCATACAGAAATCGAAGGGCGACCTCAATGTCAGATGAATGTACTGCACTTGCAATTTGCTTATGTTTTATTTTACTACTATGATTTATTCTCCTTTTTAATCTGTTCTTCATGTATTAAGTTGCAGGCTTGTTTGTGTTTACTCCAGTGCTTCACTTGGCATTCCCTAAAGATATGAGTAAAACATCATTCAGTCTCACAATAACATTCGGGAATAAATTAATACAAAACGAGAAATAACCTGAAATACATGATAAAATTAAATCTTCTAGGTCAGCCCTCCATATTCCTAAAATGCAAGTGCAGCACCTTGATGGAATGAAACAAATCCAAGAATCTTAGTGGTGGTTGAATGCTAAATGAATAGACTTAGAAAAAAAATGTAAATATTCTATTTCAGCCCTCTATTCTTAAATGCAAGCATAGCACCTTGGTTGGATTAAAAAAAATCCAAGGATCTCAGTGGTTAAATGCTAATAGTGGCTTCCGTAAGTTCAGCCAATTAAAACCCTTCTATCTCTCTTATTATGTAAAAGCATAAAAATATTGAGATATACTAGCTGAGAAAATAAGCAGGACTGGGTCGTAAGTTTTAAGGAAGTGGATATATTAACGTCGCCGTAAACAAATCAGTAAACAATATATTTACGTAAATAAAACAACGCATGCGCAGTCATACTTTAATAAACTTGCATTATCGGTCACGTAAATTTATTGATTCTCATTAAATGTACGTTAACGCGGAGTTCAATTTTCAGACTCCAAATTAGCATCGGCCTTTTGCTGAGGCCCCTTTTTTGGCAAGTTAAATTTATGAATGTACTGTACCTGTCTCTTATACACATCTAGATGTGTATAAGAGACAGGTTGTACAGCGTATGCAAAACGATATAGTCTTATTAAAATACATTAACTTGACACAATTTTTCTTGTAAAATCAAATGGTTTCTACTCTTTAAAAGCCATTGAACAACACATGATCGAATCATGAAGGAAATATATTAATTAATATACTTCCACCATGATCGAATCGATGCCAAATCAACGCACACAGGGAATCCCCAAATTGGTTAAATGAATTTTTGTAAACAGTTTATGACTAGCGGATAGGTATAGTATTTAAATTAAAGTAGTAGCCTATGTATTTCAATTAAATAAAATAATTGAATGATTGTGATAATGAGCTAGAAGTATTCGTTTCACTCTCTCACATCATGACCACAATGTCGAGCGAGGCTGTTTATTCCACGTTCTGCATCCATACTTCGTAGACACATGCTCAGCATGCCAATGTTGTTTTGTTAGTGATAAAACTACATGGAAAAATGTTTGTTTTGTCTCCCTGTGGTCTTACTTTTTTCGTAATGATTAAATATCTTACAGAAAATACATGCATATTATTATTCGTTGTTTACTTCTTCCGTCATAGCGTACGGTACTTTGTAGAGTGGATAATGTGCTCTCCAAACATGGTCTTCCTGTATGTTCTTCGCGATCGATTGGGGATCGGGGCTCGATGCTCGACCTGACTAAAGACTACTGTATAACAAAGTTGTTTTTGTTAGTGACAACTTGGGTAAATGTGTTGGAATGAAACATTAAGATGATATTATTTTTTGTGATGATTGACTATCTTATAACAATACAGGAAGGCCTAGAAGAATATCGTTTTAATTTCGGGGTAATTGGGTTTTAGCAAGGAAACCTCGCATAGGCCTAGGCCTTGTATTTAGGTCAAGTGTGTTTATTCAACAAATGATTGAGTAAAATGAACATAACATTTCCAGCTCATAATATCACACAATGATTTAATAATTTTTAGTGATTAAACTACATACTGTGCTGTTGTAGAAAATTAAATTACATTTAATAAAATATAAAAAACAAAATTATAATTAATTTGTGCCGTGGTGAACTTGGGGGAATCACCGCAGCTTGGGAGGCCATGTTAATGTTGAGTGCTGAAAATGCAAGTTTATTAAAGTATGACTGCGCCATGCCGCATTATTTAACGTAAATATATCGTTTACTGATTTGTTTACAGCGACGTAAATATATCCACTTCCTTTAAACTAACTGTAAGTACAGATTTCCCTCTAATTAAAGACCCATCCAATTAAAGATCACCTCCAATTAAAACACCACTTTTCTGTGGTCCCAAATGTCTTTAATTTTTTTATTCTAAATAGAAAGGAAAGCTGCTTGAAAAACCCCGGTCCCAAAAGCGGTCTTTCCTAGAAGGGAACCTGTACTTGAGTGTGACTTTTTGCTCCAAATTTCCACTGAGGGAAGCTTATGGCGGTTCATCCACATATATTTACTTACCTTCTGCAGTACCACTCGTTTTGACAACGAGAACATCTCTTAGTGGCAAGTTCCCCGCACACAACACACTTGGGTGGTTCTGCTATCAAATCCCCCAACATGTCAAAATTATACGTTTCAGCAAACCTGTGGAAAGTACATTTAAATAAATCTAATTATCCATATACACATTTGACACAAAATATATTTAAAATTTGTTCACTAAAACAGGGTCAAAAACACCAAAGTGGTCATTTCTTATTTCAAGTACTTAGATAAAAAGGCAGTAAAAAAACTGACTTACATTGATGTTTACATTTAAAAATATAATAAAACAAACAATCAAGCAGCAAAAAAAAACACAATAAAATGCACACAAAATTTTAAAATACCAATAAAACAACAATAAAAAATACAATAAAATACATGAATAAAATGAAAAACAGGAAGAAAAATAATAATATAATAATACTCAAACATTTATAAGGTGCCAATTCCAAGAATGATCAAAAGCGCGAGCGTTATTACCCCTGGTCACTGGATAACGTACAATGGCAAACCAGCACAAAGGGGAGTATCCCTAGTCGTTCGCTACTTCTTTAGCGCATGAAACTATGAACATTCAATGCCACAACATCCTACCAGGTACCCATTTATACTCCTGGGTGGAGAGAGACAAACGTAGATAAAGTGCCTTGCCCAAGGACACAAGCAACTTGCTCAAGTAAAAAAATAATAAATTGCACAAGGCCTATCAAAGCAGATCATTAAAATTATGGAAAAACCCAATAAATTTGCCACAAAGATGTGATAAGCAAGTGTACAATAAAAAAAAAGAATACACCAACATACAAATAAAAAAACACATACCAGTTATTGCCATTCAAAAAGAGGTTTTTTTCCTAGAATGCCAATAACAATTTTATTGAACTTATTTACCGTATTTATTTAGAAGTCTAGTAATAATAAAATTATTAGTAATTTTACCAACCCTGGAATAGGTTACCAACATTTAAGGCTCGACACACGCATCCTATTCCTAACATCGCATACAAGTTCTATACTTTAACATATATTACAGAAAGTATGCACAAATTTCACCATTATTAGCAAAATTTAACCATTTTCTTTTTACCCAAAAATTGTTGTTCAAGATCAGTTTCTGGTAATGTTGCATTTTAGTATTAAGTGTTAGCGCGTATTACGTAATGATATATTGTAGTTATAGCAAGGATGACGTAGTACTTCAATAAATTGCGTCCGTACATAGCTCTATTCAATTTTTGATTCAGTTAGCATTTACCTAGCGTAAGCTCATGTTATTGGTATTGAAGTTAACAGCAATTTGCTAACCTGTTATTTGCTAACCTGATTAATGTTTATGAATAGACATGTTATGGTACCGAATTTAGGTTGTGTTTGGAATTCATTAGTTTAATATACTGTAATGTGTATATTTGTTTTGGTTTCAGGTTTTGAATGTCAAGCATTGTAATCGATGTAAATTGATGTAATCGTTATCATCCTTGCAATCCTAGTGTAATCAATTGTTGTAATCAACGGTTGTAACATATCTACACTATTGCATGTTTTGTTTGCGGATATTTTTGGACTTGAATAAAGCATCATTTTTTACAATACAAAGGACTAAGAATAACACATTTGTGTCTTGTAAATTTTTCATTTACCTCTTAGCCTGTTCCTGTAGTTCTTGAGTGGATGGGTTGAAGACTGTCTTAACCTGGTGCTTAGCAATTGCTCCCCACTTGCCTTCGTTCTGTGACAGCAACATATCACGTATTTCAGGAACCTAGACAAATTTAAACAAAGTTTGCAATGTAATTATTAATTAATTAGTATATATGTTAATTTGGACATTGCAATAATTCAATTAAACAATATAAGAATATTTTAAGACACAAATTGTAAACAACATCTATTCAAGAGTTTCCCCTAAATTTTGAAAAATGCAAAAAATAATGGACAAAAAAAGTAAAATTTCATTCATAGGAGCTACTATTTCCAGACATCTAGAGGCATAACATTTCCTACCTCAGCCCCAACCACGGTGAGACTGAGGCAGTGTCCCATAACTTCTGCTGTTACAGTACCAATCGCTACTACATCTACTATGACTTGTTTTCTTTGTACTCACCTGTTCAAGTAGAAGTCCAGTCCGTGCTGGTGGTGGCTCAATGACTGCTAGATTCTCCAGGTAGCGTTGAAGATCACCAAGATTCGGGATTTGATCAATTGTCACTTCTGATAAATGACCTCGTAACTGTTGAAAATAGATCATATGTAATGCTATCATCAAATGATATTGCTATACTGTACATTAATTACACTGCTTCTTTCGAAGACCCACAACCTTTTTATGAGACACAAAAATAAATGAAATTAATAATGTAATCTGTCGCTGAAATTTTATAAATTTAAACGAATGCTTCATTATTACTATATATTATTATCTTTTACAAATACTATTATTATTTCTGATATTTATAGTTTAATTTTTATTGTAATTGTCCCTGTCTGTCCCTGTAATTATTATTTACATACCTTCAATATTGTTGCTTTATTGTGTGAATTGAATTCATATTTCTGCTGACATGTCTCGCTCATCATGAGGTTGAACACAGCGATCCACACTTGACCGTCCATCTTCGTTAGTTGCAGCCGCTGCTCTGCGGGGATTTCCAACCACTTTCCATCTACATATTTCATTTGTTTACCTAACAATACAAAAAAAAAAATATACAAAACTACAATTACTCAAGGAAATAAAATTATTTTAAAGTCATAAGATAATATTAAACAGGTTATTCGATATAAATATATAGATTTTCTTGGGGATAGAGGTCTAAATGCTCATTGCTTTCTTGAAGAAATTATCACTGATCATCTTTTTGAAGACTCTTAAGCAGTTTGTCTCATAGACATCAAGAATTGTACAAACGAAGAAAATGTTGTTCTGCCTTCCTTACCAGTGAAACTAATGAGCAAATAATTAAACTAGAAGCATTTTGTCAGTCACCCCACTTCATATCATTCCCTCTCCCCCACTTTCTAATCTCCCATTCGATACTATGTGATACATAGGGGTGTACTATACATACTCTTTGTGCTTACCATTCTTAAAGGTGCTCCAAGGTGGGGATTCCACAAGCGACACTAACAAGCATGGAATGTCATGTATGTTCAGAAGTCTTGTTGTTACACTCAGTGGAAGACTAGAAATAAAAAAAGACAACATTAGTAAGTAAAAGTATGTACACATGGAACTGAGAATTCTTCTAGCCTGGATGCAGTCATGTTTGACTGGATTTAACCCTTAAAATTGAACACCGCTGGCCTGGATGCATAGTCCTAATAAGGTGGGGTATGCAGACATGAAGTAGAGAAATAATAATAATAATAATAATAATAATAATAATATTACTAAAGTATGTACACATGGAACTGAGAATTCTTCTAGCCTGGATGCAGTCATGTTTGACTGGATTTAGCCCTTAAAATTGAACACCGCTGGCCTGGATGCATAGTCCTAATAAGGTGGGGTATGCAGACATGAAGTAGAGAGATAATAATAATAATAATAATAATAATAATAATAACTTATATAGCACATTTTCAATTAAAACTGTTCAATGCGCTTTACAAGAGTTAAAATGGACAAATCAAATCAAAATACAGTAAATTAAAAATAATTGTACAAAAGCTTAAGATTAAAAACTACCAATTTTAAATATAAAATGCACAAATTAAAAATTATAAAACAGGATTAAAGGGAAGCCAATGAACAAACAGATTCAACAACAAACCACACATTAAAATCAAGAATTAGAATAATTAATACAAAACGATAAATAAAAAACAGTCAGATAATTGTCCAGCACACTGCTGAAAATTGTCCAGCACATCACATACATTGAAATGGCGAGGGTAGTGCACTTTTAAAAGTATTAAGCATAGCCTTTGCAAAACAGATATTTCAACTAACTTTTAAACGTGTTCAGCGAAGTGATTTGTTTAAGAATGCCACTAACTTAAATGCATAGCCTTTCTTGAACAGTGTGCATCCCCTGATTCTGGGTCATGGTCTTGAGATTTTTTTTACTCTTTTTATTTATTTAATTACTTATTAATTTAGTATCATATTTTTGTCATCTTTGTTGTTAATAAGTAGCTAGCTTATTTTTGATGAAGATAAGAAAGCTAAAAAATAACCTATTATTTTACCTGGACATATGATCAGTTATATATCGGAGTATTGACACAGCTTTGATTCCAACTTCAAAACTTATCTTCTGCTCTTGATCAATCAGCTCCTGCAATGGAATGAGTCTATTTTCAAATGGGGTCAGCAAGTAGTACATTGTTTTCAGGCAATGACCAATACACTAGGATCACCCCAGACCATAAATTTTTTTATTCAAAAAAAAAAACTGTTGCCCATATACAGTCATACTGTAGGTTTAAGCTGGCCAAAAACAATATTTAGCAATTTGGCTAATTCAGTATGAAAATAATTAGTCAAATAGAAATTTGATTAGCCAAAACAAAAGAATATAAGGAATTACAGCTTTAATTCCATTAGCTTTTTGGCTAATTTGGAATGAAAATATTTAGCCAAATTCAGCTTTTATTAGGATTTAGCTATTTGGCTAATGACAGCTTAAACACCGTGTGCCTATATATCCCTGGTTCTTAATTAATTTGTTCGAAGGGTCAAAACATTTTTTAGAGTTTTTAGAGCAATTGTTAAAATTATTGGGGTGATTTCTAGCGGACATGCCATCAGTTTAAAAGTCGTTAGTCTGCAGCTTTGCAGGCTCCTTTACCAATATGATTGATCTCAATAAAAAAGCCAAAGTTTAGAGTCCAGACACATTTTTTTTTAAACACAAGATGAAATATGATTTATACCTGTAACGTTTGGTAACAATATTCCTCAAATATACGCGGTGTTCTTTGTATTTTTATGGGCACTGCTCTTGGTACATCAAGTTTTTATTAACAATGTATAATGAAGTTCAAACACAGTGAACAGTACACAAGGAGACAAAACTTAGTGGAACATAAGTCAGTTTATATAGGCCTATATTCAATTTATGGCCTATTATAACTTGCTCACATTTTTCAAAAAACATCTCCAAGATGTTTTCCCATAAAGTTGTTAGTGCACATGACCCAGGGGTTGCATTTTTGTCTTTACTTTATTGAAAATGTATTCATTGAATGATTATAACGTTGAATACTAGGAGTAGATTTAGCTTGTCTGTAGGGTTAGATTAAGTAAATATTTTCTTGGTCCATTTTGTTTTCACATTTATGTTAAGCACATATAGGTCTCAACAATATACGTTCTAAGCCTGTCTCTTATACACATCTAGATGTGTATAAGAGACAGTTATTACTATATATTATTATCTTTTACAAATACTATTATTATTTCTGATATTTATAGTTACTCTGCGGGTCCAAACTTGCCCTGGCAGGCCGCCTATTAAGAACCAGGGATATATAGTCATGATGTGATGTCATGATGACCATATTTAGGCATGTCACATGATTTTATCAAAAAATACAATTTGATAGGCTGAACAGGGCTTAACAGAATAAAAATTGGCTGAAGCACAAAAAGTTGACATTACTTCTAAGCATTCCTATTTCAAATTTATATATGTAAAATACTAAACTGATCAACCATACATTATAATATATAATTTCTAAATACTGTACATGTTTTTCAAAATTTAAATTGACAAAAACGAAATACTGTACAGCAATCATTATTACAGTACTTACAATCAAGAAAGTTCTATGCAAATGTATGAATTACACAGACTAAGCAATATTATAAATGCCATAGTTCCAGTCTGGATGGCACCCAGCAGCAAGACAAATATTAGTGGATAAACTTCTTGGGGTCAATGCCTAACCATGCTTAGTTTAATCAGTCAAATTTTCATGGACATTTCCACTAAGTCGAACTTAATTTACATGCCAAATTGTTGTGCTTTCCATTAATTAACAATTTGTAAGTCAAATTTTATCTATGTTGAACAATTTTTCAATAGCATTTTGGATTCGACTTAGGCAAATTCAACTGTACACAATAAAGGTGCGTTTGTGAAACAACATGTGAGTGTATGAGAAGCGCATATTCCTAGTCTTGTTCTGACTGATCAGTTAATAATTTTGACGGACATGATTGACATGAATTTGGTAAGGATCATTATCATATCTTTTACCTGTAAATTTCCTGTGGAATCTTTATTTAAACTCTTATTTTCTTCCTGGAAAAACTCTTCTCCATCTTCTTGCCTATTGATATATAAAAATATAATTATTTACTACACTATGAACCTATGAAATTATCCTTATAATATATTTATTAGTGATGATTAAATTAATGAAATCTTGGATAAACTAACAAAAATAATAACAGATTAAAAGTTTGGAATGTATATGCCCATTTTGCTTTAATACTCTTCTTATAATTTTATTTCAAGTTTAATAAACACAGTTCAAATTCTGTGATACTAATTTTTTTTTCTCTTGATCAAACACAACTAAACTCCTCAGCTTCATAAACAATTTGCTTTATATTATTCAAATCCAACAACAACAAGTACTGAACACTCACAATTCCTGTATAAAATTGGGTCGATGCTCCATATGATAAATGAATGCTTATTATTTTTAGATTTTGGGAGTATAGTTGATTTTAGTCATGAGGGATATCCTAGTATTTCTAACAGGATTGGAAGGCAGACATCTTTATAACTGCCAAATTTTCAATTTTATGGTGATAATCATCTTATACATTTACATAATCACCTGGCCAACAGTGCAGTTATTTTCCGATAACAATAATCAACAAGATCTAGAATACAATCACCAGCGCCCTCACAGGTTTCCTGAATGGAAAAAAACAAGTTAGGTTTATACAAGGATGATTATTATTGCACAAAGATAGTTGATATGTTGTTTAGTTCTTTATTATAACAGTGTGAGGTACAAAAGCTCATTTTTAACTAACTGTTTTTATATCCTTGTTTTGAAACTTGTTATTTTATTTTAATAGTAAACTTTAAAGTTGCAATTCAAAGTTCTGAACTGTTCAATTTTTCCATTTCAGTAAAATTAATCTAAACATACATTATAGTGTGATTACCTTGTAAAAAAATGTTGTCTCAATCAAGTTAGAAATGGTAGCTTCATGGTAAAGGGTCATATAAAGGGGAAAGGTACTACTGGGTTCAAAGTTTATGTTTGAAATTATTGACCAGACCTTCTGCTTCCATAATTCCAAAGCTAGTAACTCATGTACTAGTATACATATCTGAAAATAGAAGATGAAATAAGCCATTCAAAAGTGCATGAATATAATGATGTTGAGACACTACTCTTTGAAAATAAATGAAAGGCTGGGAACTGGATGCATGCAGACCTTAATAATGGTTGAGATTTCTTCCAAAAACTGTTGAGAGTAAAGATTTTTATGTACCCAGTGGGCCAAATGAGTTTCACTGCTCACCTTGTGTTTCAGCTGGAGGACTGTAATGCAAGTTAGGATAATGCACCGTCTTCCGGATGAGACGTTTAAGCCGTTGGTCCTGTGTACAATATGGCCCGTGTGCACCTTATTATTCGGAAAAGAGTAGGGGATTGTCTCGCGGTGTACTGGCCAATCACCACCAGAAAAACAACACTGGAAATAATTGGTGTTTATTTACACAGAATAAAATCCATCTATCCACCCACTGTTTATCTCTGATTCTTAATAAGCAGCCCTGAAGATTTCAGGCAAAGCACTTACTTTGTCATGTGATATTAGCATTTCTTTTATGAATTCATCTTGATTTGCAGAGGCATTCAACACTGCTTGCATATTAAGTTTTTCAAGCTGATCATGTTGTTTCATCCACCTGAAATTAAACAAGATTTTCCTTATATGCCTAGTTATACACTTACTTTCAACAATTTGTCTAGCCTATAGGACTAAGTTAGGCTAGTCTAGGTAGTGCCCTCTGGGATCTGATCCTTCATACAGTACTTTTCGATGGCTGAGCTGTCTGACCCACCCTGCAAAAAATGAGTGCATCATTGCTCCTTTCTCTGAGACTCAGTCAGATTGTCTGTGTGGTGAGTAGCTAAGCAGATAAATCTTAATAACTAGAAATTGCAAATTGCAAGTGAAGTGCTGCGAAGTACAACTGCATAAAATGTTCTTCGAACAAAATTATTTATGCGAGTCAAGTGAAAATCTTCTTCTTCTTGAACGCTAGTCGTCGTTAGACATCGCGCGTTTCACTAATTTCCGCCATTCGGTGCGTTTTTGAGCAAGTGCGTGCATAGACCCGTGTGTAGACCCAAGTGAAAATAATGAATAAAAAAAATATAACAAATAATATGAGCATGACCCATTGTCTATATATTATTAGAACAGCGTTGGTACAATAGTGTTTTGCTGCAGTGACATCTCTGCTGGCGATGGCTCGCTGCTGCTGGCGATGACTCGCTGCTGGCGAATCGATCTGCGCATGTGTATAAAATGGTATTTATTTCCGCAAACGGTATGCCAGTCTACAACAATGTAATAATTAGCACGTTGAAATAGGCTAGTAAATAATTTTAACTGGGTTTGTAAATAATATTGTCCTCAAAATATTGTGGCTGAGACATGAGCCGATCAAACGTAGAAATAGGAAACCTAGAAATATAGTAAAAACGCTGAATAGTACTCCAGCGTCGCGACATGCCGACGTTGGTACGAGTAGGTTAGTCTACAAACGTCGCCTAAAGTAATTGATTTTACCGGCAGAACGAAAGAAGGAAACTCCGCTTTTCAGTTGTCTCAGGCGATTGATTTTTGACAAACAATGACCTTTCAGAGGTCAAATTGCTGTCAAGAATATGAATTGGCTGGTTCGCAGCAAATAAATAATAATGAATAGGGGCCTAATCCTTAAGCCTAGTCCAACAAGGACAGGATAGGGCACTCGGCCCAGCCCAACCAGCCTAGCCTAGTAGTAGGCCGGCTAGGGTGCAGGCTGTCCCGAGAAGCGCTGCCCTTACCTGGCTGCTGCGATTACATAATTATTTAGGCCTAGCTAAGAAAAAGTGTAAGGAAGGCAACTTACTTAGCGTTTCCTATGTCTTTAATTTTGTATTTTTGTAAAGACTCAACATAAGCTTCCGCTTCGACCGGTAAAATGATATGTGAACCTTCCATATCTTGCGAAACTTCGTTCCTCAACATCCAGCGTATCGTTGCCATTGACGGTAAACTTTGATCTCTATTATAAATATAAATTTATGTTGAAATTACTATCAATTAAAATATTATTAAAATGCATAAATACAATATAAATAATGTTTTAAAGTAAATAATTATATTTACTTACAAAAATATAATTTATAATTACTTTTAATTGGTATTTATTTCAAAAATAATAATGTTAATAAACATCGAGGTGAAAGGTGAAGCACATGCTTCCCGCAAAACAAAAATAAAGATGAGTTCTGATCAAGAAAAGATTGCTAAGAAACGAAAGCTTGACGAAGAAACAGAACAAAAAGGCTTAAAGTCTTTTGATGGTTTCACAGTCACAAAAGTGTTAAATGAGAATGCTTCGAGTAAGAGTATTTTTTTAATGGGCAAGTTTTCGAAAGATGAGACAGTGAATAAAGACAAGGACGCTGTGGTTATCCTTGAGAAGACGCCTTTTTCTGAGGAGACGGTGGGATCTCTCCTATCTTCCAAGATGGAACTGTCCCTACAAATGCAGAATGACATATATGGCATGTTCGATGGCTACCCAGATAAAGAACTTAATGGTAAATAACTTACTACTTTAACTAAATAGTATACTCCGATAGTAGATTTCGGATGTAATTTTGTTGGGATAGGTATTTGTTTCAATTCCTATTTTTTTTCATTTGCTATATATCCCTGGGAGATGATGTCAAAAGGCTATAGCCAATCAATGAGTATGGTTTCTCCTGCTGGACCCCAAGCTTTAATAAAGCTGTTAATCAAATCAAGAGGATGGTTACTAGAGTATGAAAAAAAAGACCATAATAATAAACATGGTATTTTTTTTTGTCTGATATTTTCGAAACTGCGCTACAGAGTACAGTAGGTATACATTCATTCAGAAGGGCCTCGGATGGTGATGCACGCAAAAGTTATCCTTATCTTACTCAGCACCCCGTTGGACAGCTTAGACCCCCAGAAAGTATATACTAGAGTCACCACTGATCTGTAATTGTGAGGGAATCCTCACTACATTGCAAGGGATGTTGATAACTTATAATTACCTTAAAATGAAACTGCATGGTTCTACAAAAAAAAAACCAAAAAAAAACAACACTGATTTCCGCACCAAACTGTAACATTATAAGGCAGTGGCTATGAATATGATAATGTATGCTATCTCGGTAATGGTGAGTACCTTAGCTGTTGCCCACCTTAACCTTCTTTATCATTTACCAAGATAGCGTACGGTACTGGTACCTCTAGACACATTGTTATTATCAGGGAATCACTGTTTCCTGGTAATTATGACATAAAATTGTTAGCTGGGATAATTTATCTCCACAGGGGTTAAGACAACTGTTATCTACCCAGCAACAGAACGTCACATATTGAAGTACACAGCACAGAATATAAACCTCATCAGTGAGACATACGATGACTATGTCAATATTACACTGCCGTATCTCAAGTCGCGGCAATTCAGTGTACAGGTATTGTTTGATAAAATGTAGTAGTGTAGTCCTATTAGTCTAAAACATGAACAGCATTACATGGTATGAAAACAAAGTTTTATCACTATATTAGAATTATAAACATATATCAATTAATTTAATCAAATTTAATAATGTTTATCTTGAAAAGAATAATAACAGTTGCAAATATAAAACTGTTTTTTTTTTTTAATCATTCTAGTGGGTTTACAATATATTGGATAAATCAGCCGAAGCAGAACGTATTGTCTTTGAAGATGAAGATAAAGAGAAAGGATTTGTTCTTCTGCCTGATATGAAATGGGACCAAAAGCAGGTGGAGAACCTGTACCTAATTGCTATCTGTCACAGAAGAGACCTGATGAGTCTCAGAGATTTGAATGACGATCACTTGCCATTACTGAAAAATATACAGCAAAAATGTATAGTGAGTATAGTTTGATACCTGTATGTATATACTGTATAATCCCTGTAATTACTTTTCCAGCACTAGTCCGTGAATTTGTGAACAAGATCGGAGATCTAAAGATGCAATCTCTACCGTGCATCAGTGGTGGCCCACTGGATCTCAATGGAGATTCTTTAATAATATATAAATTTTGAAAGGCAAATGGGAAAAAACCCATAAAACAGCAAACGGCCACATAATGCAAAACTATTTAAAATTAAAACGGAACAGTAGAGAAAATCCTATCAGAATGACAAAATAAACTAAGCATCCACTGGAAGGAATCCCAATATCTGCGATCCGTTTCGGCCTTCCAGGCCTCATCAGTGCAGCTAGGGTATAGACCCAAACGAAACGTTCGACCAGCTTAGGTAGGGCCCAAACTAGTCTCATGACCACTAATGATTACAGAGGCAAACCATGGCAATATATATACACAGCCCAGGTGTGAATGCAAATAGTGGAATACAAGCTATGTGGCTCGGTTCCAGTAGATACAGATAATATTAAAAGCTTTTAAGTTATTATTTTTACCTGTTACAATTTCTTAATTTTCCATTTCAGAAAGCAGTTGAAGAAAAATTCAGTGTACCACCAAGACAGCTTCGACTGTATGTGCACTACCAGCCTTCGTATTATCACTTTCACGTGCATATAACCCACCTTAAGTTTGATGCCCCTGGCACGCAGGTGGCCAAAGCTTACCTGTTATCTGACGTTATTGAGAACATTGAAATGGTGGGGAACTACTATCAGAAAAAGACGATTACCTTTACACAAAGAGAGAATGATGGGCTGCTTCTAAAGTTCAGAGAAGCTGGGAAATTGTAAAAAGTACATCAATCCTGGTTTAATTATTGTAGTTGTTGCTATGTTTTTTCTTTCATTTTGGAAAACAGTAAAATTTATCAACAGGACTGATTTTCCCTTTCCAAAAAGAATATGAAATTACTTAACTGGATACAGAATTTGTAAATATACCAGCGAAGACAAACAAAATAAGATTCAACATACTGTAGTACAGTGCTGTACATACCTGTACATAAGTTTCAAAGAAACAAAATAAAATAATTAAAAACATGGTTTATACAGTCTTAGGTGATTTAATGCCGGTTAATATGCCGGTTAATATACAGTGGCCCTATTTATTGTTTTATAGTAGTAATTCCCAAAATTTACATCATTAATTTTGAAAAGAAGCCCCTTCCTACTCCCCTCTTTACTTTGCAAAAGTCCCCTCGAAAAGAAGCCCATCTTGAAAAGATTCCATCCAAAGTTTGCAAAAAAAAAAGAAAAAAAAAAAGAAGCCCATTGCTTCTATTTGAGGTTTTACTGAATTTTGCTTCCTGTGTTCATGATATCAATGACAAGCTAACTTCATGAAGACAATGAATAAGGACTTCTAACAGAAATAATATAGTAGTAGATACATGCATATACCTGAATTTGCACAAGGTAGATAATTCCTTGAAATTGCCTGCTAACATAAATGCGGGAGACTGCTGCTGACTTCTGGGTGACCTCTAACTCTTTCAGCATATGTGTATTTTCACCCTTTTATATTTTTACACAGCATTAGAGAATTGAATATTTATTAAGAATTGAGATAACACAATAGAGTAGCTTATTGCTTTCAAACATAAAATAATATTCTTGTACTAGCTTTCTTTGAGTAGTAAAGTTTTTGATACAGTATTTTAATTATGTGGTCTATTTTGTGTCAATTTCAAATGGTACAACTGCCAACTGAAATCTTAATAAGGTGGATTAGATTCAAATGTTGATACATACAGCCAATTGGTTATGGTGGGAAACCGTTTTCGTATACATTTTTTCGAGTCCCAACAATTGCTGGTGAGTGAAAGTTGAGTGTTATTTGACACATAAAATACGCACACGTACACACCACTGATCTCTACTATAATAGCTGGATGGATTGCTCATCGGCCAATCATTGTACAGAAAAAAGTAAAGCCATCGACGCCGTAATTGGGGGGGGGGGCCCTAAATGAAGTACAAGTTTAGATGAGTTTCTTTTGGCATTTGTTTAAATTAAGATTCTTGCAATACTTACGAATAAATTAAAATTTAATGTAAGGATTTTTTCAAATCATCTAACCACTCGACATATGTAGTTTTAAAAAGCATGACGAGTGAAGTTGCGTTGTTATAGTGACATCGATCACAAACAACGCAACTTTGCTTGCGCTTTTTTAAACTGCATGAACAGATGCGTCGAGTGGTTAGATGATTTTTTAAAAATCCTTATGTTAAATGTAAATTTATTATTAAAATGTATAGCAAAAATTTCAAAACAATTTGAAAGAAACTTGTCTAAACTGATTCTTCACTTAGGCCCTCCAACATGGCGTCGGAGCCTTCACTAAACCAGCCAATATGCAGTCGATCTAATTATAGTAGAGATCAGCAGCACACACACACACAACAGATGTAATGAATAGATACCAAAGAGAAGAGTTTATGAAAAGTGTCGTACCCAAGACTCAAGCAAGTACTGTACATCATTATCAGATTTCTAAACCAATTCCATCTTTATTAATACTGTATTTTTATTATTATTCTTACTGTTATACCAAGTCAGGGGTTGGGCCAGCAGGGAGAGTTTTCCCCTCCTCCGCCGGGAAGATTTATTTCTTTTATATTAGTACTATTTAAAATGTGATCAAAGCCTTTGAACCTTCTAAATTTTTTCATATTTTCCGGGGCTTTGCCACCTTGACACCCACTTGCAGACTTTTTGGGGACATTAGGATCCTCCTCCCCCCGTCGGGGATATCCTACCACCATCACGCAAATCCTGGCACCACCCCTGTTACGAGTACACAGAAAAATGCATTTATTTTGCTAGTGCTGAATAGGAAATTAACAGCTTATGATCAAATATTGTATTTTGTACGATGTTCCAAATTTTATTTACCAATCACCTAACCTCTAATTACAGTCATAAATCAATTTATATAATTATTTTATATGTAATTAAAAATGATGGTATTAATTTGCATTTAATGTCAATTTAAAATTATATTGAATTTCCCTTATAATAAACAATGAAATAATCCTATAGCATATACTGTATATTATTTAGCAATTATTTTATTACCCTAATACATTTATTAATTAAATAACATGAAAAATAAATACTGAAATATACATCTGATGTCCCTTGAGTAGTGTTGCAGCTATTTTTATCTGCTTGAACAAATGCACAGCAAAAAAATCAAACCACCAACCAGTGGCAGATCAAGGAACTCAAAATAGAGGGGGCTCAGGGAGGATCTTTCACAGTGTTCACCCACTTCAGGGACCCGGCTGGGTCACCCTTGGAGCCACCCTTGCCAACCACATAGTGGAGACCCCAACATGCACCCACTGCTCCAAATTCATTAATAAACTAGTGATTCTATCTGTCTATCACTCTGTACATTATTCATTATTTAGTAATTTTAATTTAATATAACCCAGAGAATATTTCTAAAACCCCTATAATTTTAGTATTTAGATTAAAAACTTATAATTTTACAGTTTTATTTTTTATAAGTTTTGAAAATTTAGATTAATACATCATAATAATTATAATTTAATTGTAAATAACCATAGGGCATAGTCTGCCAACTGTATTACAGTATTTAGATAAAAACTGAATTTTATTTGTCTTATATTTTTATTGACAAAATTAGATATGAATTACTATTTTCTATTTTGAATAATATATTGTAAAAGTGACTTCTATTTTGTAAATTGTAATAAAAAGTTTAAACAATTGAAAGATTTTTTAACTATTGATAATAAATGTTTTAAAAAATATATATCGATTATATATATTGTATTAATATATTAGAATGTTGTTTGATTTAAAAAACAATTTATCTACACTAATGGTAACATTTATATCAATCATAGATAATATTATAACAAGTGCAAAACTATTTGTAAAATAAAATATAATATTTTGTATATAATAAGTAATATGAAATTCACAGATAGTAAAAAATAATTTGAAAAATAAAATGCTATAAGCATAAATGCAGAAACTAACAATCTTTACATTATAACAATTATACATTAAATGGTAAATAGAACAAAAAGGCAGTAACTCCGAAAAATGACAGAGACATTTTGAGATTCAATGTTTTGATCTATTTGATCATTTTTAAGAACTGATGAGAAAATCTCACCCATCCATATACAGTATATTTACAATATTTATACAGAAGTATAACAAAAGCAAATAAAAACCGACCAATCAGATTAAAATCAAAATTAAAACTAGCCAATTAAAATTAGGTAACTAAAAATGATGTGTGTCTTACATGAAGTAGATCACTTATTGTAATTGCCTAGTCTTAATTTTGATTTTAATCTGATTGGTCGGTTTTTTATTTGCTTTTGTTACACTTTTGTAAATATTGTAAATATATATGGATGGGTAAGATTTTCTCGTCAGTATTCTTGAAAATGATCAAATAGATCGAAACATTGAATCCCAAAATGTCTCCGTTGTCTCTTTTCGGAGTCTGTCTTGAATTGGTGGATCCTCTGGTTTTTAAATGGTAAAAATACTAAAATAATAGAGACAATTAAAATACTGTATAAACAAATATAAAAAGGAAATAAACTTTTTAGCAAACAGCTTTAGCATGTGCTAGAATTTCAGATTAAAAATTAAAAATTGTAAGATAAAATGTTTAACACAAAAGTCCGAGTTGCTCAAGAAGTTTGTCTAGCAAGTCAAGTTTTTCCTGAGCCTCTGCTATTGCACTAGTAGTTTGTACACTACAGCTGATGTGGTGGCGCATGTCATCGACGATTGGAATCGAGTCGATCTCCTCCCTCATGTGTACGTTTGCAGCATCTTCCTTGATAAGGTTCGCAAAATCTTCATTTGTTACAATCTGTAAAATGAGAAAAATCTCTTACATCAAACATCTTAATTTCTCTTATAATGTTGCGTTGGCTATTGTTTAGGTAGGCCTATAGACCATTTTATCGGGTTTAGTTTGAAACAGCGCCACCAACATCTCAAAACTCACTGGGTGACTAGTGTCATACAGAACGCGGCACACACTACTGGAAATCCCCCAGTGGTAGTTGCCAGGTTATCGGAAATAATCATTTCAAATTTCACAATACTGGTCTTTAGAGCCTTCCACAATAAAATATACATCATAGCAGCAGTGAACAATGCTGCTCTATAAATACCTGTTGATTGGTAATGTAAAAAGACTGATATTATCATATTAATATTGTGGAATTTATATTATTGTTATCATCACTTCTCACAGTGACATACCTAGTAAAACTGATATGGATGGAGGCCTGATGAGAAGGCAGCTAAGTGGAGGCACTTGTATGGTTGTAGCTGAAGAAAACTAAGGGTGGGTGATAGATATTTTGAGGGTGGTTGCTTGATAACATTGGTAAACTCTAAGTGGAGGGGGATGTTATGGGGAAGAGAATATTCATTCAAATTTTCGTGGCAATATTTCAAATAAATTTTCAACTCAGATTACCAAAAATTAATTAGTAAGGGGAACTAGCTGGAAAAATTAGATGATATCAGGTGATTTTATTCCAATTTCTTCTCAGCAAATTTCAGTGGGGAACCTAGGTGGAGGGCGGGTGCAAGCTTCTCTCGGAAGGGATGTGCCCAAGCCCTAATGCCCTCTTGTTCCTCCATCCATATCATCCATCAGCATCAGCATAATCACCATCATCATCATCATCATCATTATTTAATTGTAGCATCATTGTAATTCTTGTTCTTACCTTTTCCACAATTTTAGCCATATATTCAATGCACTGATCTTCAAGTTTGACCAGGTTGAACATCCTGGCAACTCTTAGCACTGATAACACATTAGCTTCTGTCAGGTGTCTGCCTATTTCATTGGCACAAAGACTCTTAAGGCCCGGAAGTAGATACATATCCGCTGTTACCAATACATCATAGCTGTTTTCTTCTGAAATCTTAAAATAAGAAGTAATAATTTTTATAATATTTACTATAAAATGTCTGCATTTGTAAATAGTAGACATCATACCATGTATAGCTATTTTTAGTTATTATTATTATTTTTTTTTTTTTGGCTTACCTACCTCCACTTTGTTAGTGTAAATGTAGTTGACAACATTAGAGAACACTTGACTAGACACCCCATGTAATGCAACCTTTGGCACCATACAGTCATCGTCTTCAGCCAACTCGCTAAAATGATCAGACAGCAGTCCTTTAAAGTAATCACTCCGTCCACAGAAAAATACCTGTAAATGAAAAGTGCGATAATTTTATTAACCATATATATATTAACAAACATGAGCAAAACAATACAAAAAAAAAAATCTTTTTTTTTAACATAATCTCCAAGAGCAGTGGCAGTGCCAGCAGGGAGGCGGGAGGGGACAGTATCAGTCATCAACCTCAAGAAACATCAGAAAACGGTGGTTGCACAAGTTCATTGGGGGTGGAGGGAAATACCCTCTATTCCCCTTCCTTCTCAGATGCAGCCACTAGTTAACTTTACCTTATGACAGTAAAACCTGCAGCCATCAACATCAAAACAAACATCAGCAAATGGTGGTTGCACAATTTCATTGGACTGGAAGGGAAGTACCTCCATCTGTAATCAAATATAACAATAATGACAATAACAATGCAATGTATCTAAACATCCTGAGAGAATTTCGATAATACTGCAGGTAGGGGGTGGGGGTACACACACCCTCCTCCCAAGTCTGCCCCAACTTACTGCATATTTTTGAAGCCAAAAAACTACACTAAAGTAATCGCCTCATACCTCCATTTTATGCCAGCCCTCCCCCCCCCCATTTCAATATCCCTAGATATGCCACTAGTTAATCATCACATTGCTGTTCAAAGCTAGATACTCACTTCTACACCTGGGGAAGACAACCACATGTAAAGTGCCCAAGAACGCAAGTGAAATGTGCTGCTGAAGGTGCGAACCTTTGGCCTTAGGTCACCTAAGTACCGTATTTAATAAATATTAAGAGACAATCTTACCAGCTGCGACTGCTCCATATAAATTAAAAAGACACAGCTGCAAAATACCAGTCGACTCCGCCTAAGTCGAAGCTAATGGGACTGGCATGAAAAGATCGAGTTATACAGATTTCGACTTGCAAATTTTCGAGAAAAAAAAAAAAATATTAACATAGAAAAATATTATGTGTACTCAAAGCCCATAAAATCAAACTTCACACAAAACTGAACATTTTTTAAGTCCCAAAATAATTCCTATTCTTCTTTTAATAAAATACTTTCCTGAAAACATGAACTCCCTATTCCGAATCTCGGACAATTTGTCCAATTCAGGATGGTAACACTCACTGTGAGAACCAGACGATAGTTAAATAGACATCGTTTAACAGCAAGCATACCACACGCTGTGAAAACGAGACGCTTAACTGTACTCGCATTGCCATGGAGATTATTTGTTGATTAACATGACACGCCAGTAGACGTTTCATTGGTTAATTATGAAGTGAAATTTAGGTACGCATTCCAATGTTTTAATTATTGTATATTCTTGCTTTTAATCCTTAAAAACCATTTGGAATCAACCTGCAATAAAGACGGAACTCCACAAAGCAAGTTGCTACTGGTTACGCTTTTTAGTAGACGTTTAATTCAAATTCGTTAGATTCGTCTGTGTAAATTACAAATGCACCTCAAGATGCTATTCAAAACATTTTAATTTCATTACGGAGGAAATTTGTAGAGAATAAAATCTAATTTGTTAGGTTTATTTAGATTTGACTCTAAAATAATACCATGAGGGTTTCTTATTTGTTTTATGCTTTGTTTTATAAATTTGTTTAACAAAACATTCATGATTACACCGAGCTTGTTTACTGTCACGCCCTATGAAACTTTGGGCGATCTGACGTCATCACAGCCGAAACACATGTCTATTGCAAAACACCCCACGAAAATGGACCAATTGGCGGGCAGGCAGAGTTTTTGGGGGTGCGACCTATTCTGTTTACAACTAGACTGCCGACCAGCATTACCCAACGAAGAATGTGTGCTTGGAAAAACATAATCGGAACTAAAGAAATGCACGCAAAAACAATATAAAAATCGCATAAATTTTATTGGTAATAATTAAATTTACTGAGCAGTACAGCAAAATATCAGGTACTGTACGTATTATTAAATAATGTGTTGCATTTGCGTAGGCTAGTCTAGGTAGGTCTAGTCAAAACAATCCAGGGCTTTGATAAATTAAATAACTAGGCCCAGACTACAACTTGTTCAAAATGGGTTTAATACAAGTTCAATAAACTGAACTGGACGACAAACTCAACATTGGATCCGGACCGGAGGGGTGTCTGTATTGTGAGAATAGACTGCAACTTTTAATACGACATACGATCGTGTGAGCCAAGTTCCACATCGCGCTGTCTGAGATGTTAGTTTTGACTTGGCTAACTTGTTGCCGTACAACAAGGATTGAACTTTGTATTTTCCCATGTGTGCTACAAAATTTGGAACTTTGACTTTTGTGGTTGAAATTACTTTAAAATCGGCCTATCCAGACCGGAAAATTCCGTCGATATAGCTAAAATTCGACTTATAAAAATTTGAATTAAACAAACAATTTACATAGTAACACATATGTAAGAATTGGGACTTTTTCAAAAATTTGACTGACGCGAATTTTCGACATAAACAGAGTCGACTTTGGCGGACTCGACTGTAGTAGCAATTTTTAAAGAAGTTACTATTGATACACCAGTCTTAAATTCATAATTCTGGTTAGAAGTTATTGTTTGTATGGATTGGATTTGGATAGTATTTATCAAATCAGAATTAGGAAATCTTTTAAGGCTAGTGTAACAATAGTCAGCAACTACCCACCCAGTTTGCCTCTGGTGGCATCGCCATATCAGCGAGTACCTGGAAATCCTCTTGTAAAGGTTGGAGTTCATCTGAGGGATTTATGCTCAATATGTTCACATCTGTTCCTGGCTTTTCATGTACTAGTAAAATAAAAATATACACATCATTAAAAACAAATTGATGGTTTCCTAAAATGTATTTAAACACTTTAAAACACACTTTTAGTTTGATCGCTCCATAACTGACAACTGATATATTGATTAATTGATTGGCAGTTACCTAAAGGCAACCTCATAAAATAACCTAAAGGAATGACGAATCTGCAAAAAATAATAATAATAAATAATACACCTCATTCACAGCACACACATCCATGTTTTAAACTGTCTTCAACTTGTTTTCTATCTCGTCATGCAAGTAGCAAAGCTGGCATTTACGGGCAAAGTGCAAGCAGTCTGTCACACAATCAAGATGGATTTGAAAAATTCCTATAAAAATTGCCAAACAAATTAATAATAGATAAGTATGTATAATAGAAAAGTATATAATAAAAATCATAATATAACAACAATAATAATATTGATAACAATTGCATGATGTTGTCATCAGATCAGGCACCCAGTGCAGTGGTCCATGCTGGTGTTATTAGCAATCAGCATATTGGTTCAAACCTACCAGAATTCGAAGGGGGTTTATTAAAAGAGCCAGAAATCAAGGGAGCACCTAGGTACACTGGTGGCCCATGGAAAGAGCTCTGGTAATGGTTATGTGAAATCTCCCAGGAGCTGAAGTCCCCTGGAGCTGATGTACTTTAACATGTAAATGGTAGGAATTGGATTTGTTTGATTTTATCTAAATGGGGTTTGCTCGAAAAGAGAGGTTTCAGCCAGAACATAGAAACCCCTGTTCCTGGAGACAAAAATGGTAAAGTGCTGATTATACTGATAATTATAATGCATAATGGTTAATGGTTATTAATTTATAGAGCGCAAAATACGAAAAGTCTCTAAGCGCTATCAGGCAAGTGTAAAGATGGAACGGAAACCAAAACCACAAAATAAAAAAGACGTGAAATTTGAATACCATGCCAGCACCCAAACCGAAGTATGGGGATACGCCCTCATCGCTGGCTAGGGTTCAATCTAATTGAACTACAGTCAGTACGGTCTCGGCTATCTCGGATTCGGGCGCCTCCTATCCTAGTTAAAGCTATAAAAGCTAGCTGGCATGGAAATAGAAAAAAAAATAAATTAAAGGGACGAGAATACGTGGGTCTTAAGTCGTTCTTTGAAAATGGTGACAGAAGGTGACTCACGAATAAATAAAGGTAACAAGTTCCACAACTTGGGCCCAGCAACCCTAAACGATCGCTCCCCACAAGACTATAATCGAAAGGATGGACAATAAAGATTGGTTGAGTCAGTTGTTGACCGGAGGCAACGAGTGCAAGTTGCAGAACGAACCTTAATTAATTCGGAAATGTATTGTGGTGATAACCGCATAAAGAAAAATTAATAGACAAAAAAAATAATTTCATTATTTTACCTGTGTAAATATATTTCAGGATGGCCTGAAAAGCTTGAGGTCTTACCTGAAATAAAAATATTACAGAAATTGATTAACCCTTATGAATCCCTCCTTTGGGACACCCCTATTAAGGGACACAATTTTCTTTGAATATCACCACCATCATCCTCATATACTATTATATAGTTATTATACTACTAATATACTATTATATAGTTATTATACTACTAATAACTGTAAACAGTAGTATTTTCAGTCATAGATGAAGTATTAAATATAGTGTCCCCTTTGATAGGGGAGTAGCTGCATCTGCATCATCTGCATCAGAATCATCACCATCACCATCATTACACACAGAAGTATTTAATCATAAACAACTTTACCAATTCATGTTTGATGTGTATTGTGCTCTTATGCTGCCATTTGCCTTCAAGCATAGTTGCAAAATACGGGCAGCGTGCGGTCAAGATGCATCGATGTGCAACATATCTTTCATCATGGATGACAAACACTATATCTTCATATAAGCCACCTTCTAAGGCCCTGTAAATTTGTAAGAAATGTTAGGCCAATACAGAAGATGTTTTTACTGTTTTTGGACATAAGCAGTAGATGCGTCCCCAAACATATTTTTAAGGGGGGGGGTTACTTCAACCCACTTTTTAACCGCAATGTAATTTCATAAGTCAAGAAGATGCCTGAAAATTCTTGAAATGAACTGCATAAATTACACAGGTTTTAACGAAAAAGCGCTGTACAGCTAGAGTACATGATGATGAATTTGCCTATACTAGAGTGTTATTCCCCCCCTCCCTACCCCATCTTTTAAAACAGATCTGCGCCCTTGGTCTCAGAAAAAGAAACAGAAAAAAGGAGAAGAAAAGGAGAAAAGGGGAGATACAGAAAAAGGAATGGTATTGAAATCACTGCATGATAAAGTTTTTTATTTACAAACGACTATGCCACTCCTTCTCCCTTGGTGCGGAAAATCTTGGTAGGGGCCATAGCACGTCGTATGGCCCCTACCGAGATTTTTCTCTCGATAAGGTGGCAGGCCCTGAGGACAGCTACAAGTATCAGAAAGATTACCTTAACAGAAAGTCTTGGTACTGGTCCTGCTTTCTCCAGCCAGTACTTACAGCCTTGTACCCTTTCAGGACATCCCTGATTTCATCAGTAAGAGCGCCATAGATACATCGCTCTCCATCAAAGGTTTTTGCCTCACAACGAGCACCTATGGGTCACAGAATTACTTATCTTAACCCTGTCCACACTACCAAATTAATTTATTTGACAAAAAACATGTGACATGCTTAAATATGGTCATGATAACATCCCATCATGACCATATATAGGCACATCATGACTATATATGGGCATACAACAGTTTTTTGTTAAATAAAATATGATGATCTTGACAAAGCCTTACAGTCATTTCTTAATTATTTCATTCTTATTCAATAAAATACTTGATGAAAAGTATATTATACTAAAGCCGCGGCAATCACACATAAGAAACTGTAGATTTCAACAAGACACTGGGTAAAAATCCAATGGGTAAATCTTATCTCTGTCCGCTTTTGGATTTTTTGAGTCGGTTAGTTTTACTGCTTGAAAAGGTAAAACTGTCATAAAAGTCAACTATTAATGGCACTAATTTGTGACATAATCCATTGAGTAACGTTAGAATGACTTGGGAAGTTTAACCACGACGTGTGTTTCCATTGACTTTTCGGCTTGGTAAAAGTCAGTTTTACAAAGCATTCCAACCAGTAAAACTGCGCATCTCAGTAAAAGTTGAATTTAGTGGGTGGAAACTATCTGTTAAGATATTCTTTACTTTATCAATAATTTTAATCTCAGTGATATCATCTAGTTGTCCATTTTGTTGTAGAATTTTTCTTCAACTTCATTTATGATACATTGTATTAATTTCTGTTATGTTAAGTGCCAAACCAAACATAACTTCCAAACAAAAGAGCGCTTTCAATAACAGAAGAATAAAAAAGACTTATTATACATGTATCAACATTGAATGACCGCAATTTCCTAAAGAAATGTAGGCGTGTCATACCCTTCATAACAATTTTATCACACTGTTCCCCCCAGTTTAACATATGTGGCAAAGACCAGCCAAACAAGTCACTCGTCGCAAATTCTGTTTCAGAGATATTGGCCAAAACATGCTGGAATGTCAAATTTTTTAAAATCTATTTTATTGCACTAAACTAACCTTTATATACGTATACACCATGCATGCTGTTATTTTCCACATTTTCAATGTTAAAACAAAAATTTTTTTACTGTTGAACACTGTATTATAAACTAAAATTTGATTTTTGTAAAAGTGACTGGTTTGGCTTGTCTTTGCCCACATATTATCAATCTCTAAACCTTGGTATTTATGATGAGCAAGTCGAGCGGCCGAGCGGTAAGACAGCGGCGCTGCTAGCTACAGCCCTAACATCGGCACTGGTTCCAGCCGCTCCTCATCCATAGTTCGGTTGGTAGAACCAAGTCTTTCTCGGATAAGGACTTAAAATGGAGGACCAGTGTATACATAATGCTGCTAGGTAGTCACAGACCAAGCCCATACGCAATTCAGCACAATGGCGCTGCAAGTTATGGGTTACTCTCCTACTTTTACCTTCCTACCTTTATGAGTAACAGTATCAATCTCAACATCGTCAACAACAACAAGGGATACAACATTATTTTCGCATTATTATTATTTTGCATTACTGTATATTTGTGCATATACTATGATTTTAAATACTTCCACTTACCATTCTCTAGTAGATATTGAACTATTTCCATGTGACCACACAAACAAGCATAGTATCTAAAAATAAAAGAACATAATATTATATTAATACCTGTCTCTTATACACATCTAGATGTGTATAAGAGACAGGATTTGATGTGTTTCTTATTTCATCATTATTATGTATAATATAGAAAATTTAAAAAAGGTAACGTAACCGTGTGACCCTTGAAAAT